ATAACACATTTATAAGTCGAAGATGTGGCAAAGTATTTTTGGGAAAGTAACCGCAACCTAGATTTAATTACTTTTTCCTGCTTTTCTGTAGTGGCTGGTTTCGATTTTCTTTTTTTAATTTGAACGTTCATAGATTCCAAATATTTTTTATAGTATTTTTATCAACTTTGTGTTTTCGACCCAACTGTCGGTACGATTTTGCTTTTGCATGTTTTTAAAATTATGAAAAATTGCACTTTTGCTTTCATCAGGATTATTTTCACAAAATTTCCAAATTAATTCGCGGCGCTGCAACTCGTTCAAAGACATTTTTACGACTAAATGTATGCACATCGAAATGATTTGTATGCGACAACATCAAGAAGATATCCCGTTATATTTTTACATTGGAAGTTGTTTTTTGCAAATTTAGCGCTATTTTGTGTTTGTTTTCACAAGATGTGTTCGGATTTCATTCACCATACGTTAAGTTCTTTATATCCCCCTTTTGTCCAACATAAGGCCTCATACTCAGCAATCAAATATACTCGGAACTGGTGACCGGGACGACCATTCATTCGACCAACCCTATACAGTTTTTTTTTTTTTTGTTTTTTTTTTATACAAAGTCTAAGAAAAAATACACCTTAGCTCCCAAAGTTTACACTGCCGGCAAATGCAAATAAGGATACAAAATTTAGAACTAATTATTAAAATTAAAGTACAATATATACAAAATTAACAATAAAATACTTTTTTCGCAAAACCTATAAAGCACCCTTTTATTAAAAAAAACCTGTGCGACAGTTATTATTTTATACCCTGTAAATTCAATGAAAGGAAAATTCGCACTGAAAATCCGATAAGGCTAAGATAGTTCGAAATCTTTTAATAAAAAGCGAATCCCTCTGATTTATATAGAGTTTTGCTTTGCTTTAAAGAGCCAAAATGTTGTATTCAAAGTTTTGTGAAATACTTTAAGAAAATGGCTATAAGAAGTTTTTTTCCTCCTATAAAATTTTTCAAATGGGATTTAACAACTCTAACCTAGCGATATGCGGCTTGCATTCAACCAATACAAATAATTTTCAATAAATAAAACAAGTACCTCTATCCTTTTCGAAACAATGCATTTTAAATTTCTCTTGCCTCCTGTATCTAAATATGAGTTTTCATAAAAAGTGAAATTAGAAACTTTTCATTCTAATCTAGCGATATGTTTATTAAGTAGCTCGATAATTGAACTTTAAGGTTGACTTACCCATGGAATATCCCATACGTTATATCCAATAATTGCACAAATTTGCACTAGTCTTTTATAAATTAGTCTGTTCGCTAATAAGTTCTTGTAAATGCCAAATTGTTTTTTCGAAGATCAAAAAGGACTCGCAAAAATTGGTTCAGGAATTAATCGAAGTACTAATTTATTATTTCTTCGTTAAAAGAAGCTTTTCTTAAGTTAATATTTTGTATATGGCACAAATCGCCGAAAACGAAACCAAGGGGAAAATTTTTTTCTCAGGTTTCGCAGATTTTGGATTATATCTGGGTGATACATATTCTAAGGTATCGAACAACATCAATATTAACGCGAATCTCCTTCTCTAAAACATGAAAATTCACTTATTCTTGAGACACCTTTAAATAAACGAAAACTAAAAAAGCAAAACATGAAACTAAAGGGTAGTTTATATTTAAGGTCCACCACTTTTTTGCATTATGCTTGCCTCTCTTCGCTTGCCTTGTATTATTTTGAATTAAATAAAAAAAAGTATTCGACAAACAAATCAGCGATTAGTTTTCTATATTAAAATCAAGTGGGCAGTATTTTTTAATGTAATGTAACAGTCTAAAATATTAAAAAGTTTTTTGGCGCGGAATCCACCAAACTAGAAAAAGGAAAAATATAGTTTTCTTCGAGCATTTTCGACCTTATTTCACAGTAAAATAAAATAGTTCCACATACTCTTCAGTACCAATATGTTTTCGGTGGAAAGCTATTTGTAACGTAACAGTATTTTGAACTAATTTAATTTTTAGGTAACCTTTTTTCCTATTTAGTTAAAGATAGGGCTCATTTTACAAGCAACATTGGAAGCTATTCAACGTGTTATTCTCCCATAGTTAAAACTGTTATTTTTTCTAACTTATATAAACTAAGAAGATAAGAATTACGTAGAAAAATAAAAAAACGCGAGAATTATATTATTTCAAAAAGGAACGAAGTCAAGAGAAGCGAAATAAGAAGCGGAAAGAAGATTTATTCTACAAAATGCCGAGTGCTCGAATCTAACATTTGAAGGGTAAGAATATTACTGAATACCATAGAGCAAACAAAATAAGCCATTAAAGCCGTTTTTCGTGAAATTAAACGCGAAAAACTCAACAACTTGGCGCAATTCTAAGATCGAGTTCGAGTTCTACGCAGAAAATGACTTCGGAAACAACATACGGCTGCATAGCATCAGAAACTTTGCAATCTGTATTCATAATTATCATGTTCTTAATTTCTTTGAATTACTTGTCACATCGCAAGACTCCTGAATTTATGCTACTTATTGCATAAAACACACTAAAAGCGATTTAAATACCTAATTACAATCCTATCGCTACACGTATATCGCACAGGTAACGTAACAGTATTTTTCCGTAACGTACCAGTCCGACTATTTTTTACAAATATTGACCTCAAAATTAATTTTATCAGTTCAATTAATACGTAGTTCTTGAATTCCATCCTGAAGCTAGGAAACTGTGTACCAACTTTTGAAAACATTATATTAGGAGAGCAGACTTTTCCAATAATATAAAGCAACTTTAAAAAGTACTTTCAAAAATTGTAATGCAACAGTCCACTGTTGAAACATTCATAACTCCTAAACCACAGGAGTTACAATATATGTTTGTATGTATTAAATAATGCCACATACTTATGCTTTCAGATGCAAAAAGAAAAATTATCCGAAAATTGTATTCTCGCGAGTTTCAGCGGTATTTAAAAATCAGTTTGAGCCAAAATGTAATGTAACAGTCCGCGTTTTGGGCCATATGCATATTTAACTCTATTTGCTTTTAGTGCCTTCTTACGATTTTTTATTGCCTCATAAAGTCTTTCCTTTTCGTGATTTTTTATTTATTTTAAGTCCTAAAAATCTTTAGAGGAGCATCATCCGTCGTTTTACATATACGAAAATGATTGATATTATCGAAAATATTATTTTTTTTTATTTCAGGGTTAAAATTCAAACGGTAGCCGCTAAGGGGGAAACTGAACCGGAGCGCAAAGAAACGCGTGGCAAAGTAGACGAAGATCGCAAACATGAAATTGAAGCAGCTATTGTTCGTATAATGAAAGCCAGAAAACGATTGCCGGTATATAATGTTTTTTTTTACTTAATTGAATGAATATGGCTTCAAAAATTATTTTTATTTTTATATAGCACAACTTGCTTGTTTCTGATGTTACATCACAACTGAAGTCTCGATTCCTACCGTCTCCTGTTTTCATCAAAAAGCGAATAGAAGGCCTTATAGAAAGAGAATATTTAGCAAGGACGCCGGAGGATCGAAAAGTTTATATATATCTGGCATAAACTCGCATAAGACCTACTCTGAAAAGAATAGCAGATAAGATTAGCGAAAAAGAGTCTTAAGCAAAGGCAATAGCAATTCATTAAGACTATTAATCGTATACTGCATGATCCCCACTTAACAAGCTAACGTACCCGCTATATCTAACTTTCATCAAGGTTTCGTATTTTTTTTTCTTTTTTGTTATCTATACTTTACCTTTGTCACGCCAAAATTTGGTCTACAATAAACGATTTCGGTCCTCCTTTCAAATTTTGACTTTTGCTTATGCCTACTACTACAAACCTTTCTCGAGAATTTGGGAATTTCAAAAAAAAATAACTTCAGATGAATACAGAGAATTTTTAAATACCTCCGCTTGTTTGTTTTTTTATGCGAAAATTTCTCGCATCCAATATTCACGTCGAATCTGTGCAAATTCGCGTTTAGGTGAAACTTAAGGACCGTTTGGTTGGTTTAAAATAATTATAGTTTCTTCAAAGAAGCGTTTTCAAGATATTCACACAAAGCGTTATTCGCCAATATCCCACTAAATCGACTTAAACGACCTACAGATCGAAAGGTATTCATGTTCCCTTTACAAAAGTATATAATTTGTGCAGAATGTGCCATAAGATATTCATATCATGTTTTCATAAGATATTGACGAATAGCTCCGCAAAATACAAAAAAACACGTTTTACGGAAAAATCTGGAAAACGATTCTTTGGCACCGATCTTGGAAAACGTTTTCTTAGATTCAAACGATAACTCAAAATTTTTAGAGCAGTGTTACTGGGATTTTTGATGGTCTTCATTTTATCGTCACCCATTGTTTGTGACCGCATAAAATCTAGAACGCATTGACGTGCTTAAGCTTCAAAATCAGGCTCACTCTCATGTAATTATCAATCAATTATCGACAGTATTTATATTTTGATCAATAAAAGGCTACCGAAGTTAATTTTAAAATATCGAATGAAATGCGGGACAAATGCAGGACACTTGGAAAAATCAGTACATTTACAGGTTTTTCTATTTTTAAAAACTACGCAGGACAGACCTTTGAATAACAGTACGGTCCTGCGAAAAATAGGACGGATGGTCACCGTATCTATACCACACGTGTGTTACCCTTGTGTGGTATAGAAACTACAATATCAATATTGTAGCTTGCCGTTGCTACGTAGCAACTACCAACTACCATATACATGTAATACTTCTATATTGATAGTAAAGTATCTCCACAATGCGTTTTTATTCCGCAATCAAAGGGAGACGGCCTATGAAAATGTTTTCTTGTGTTAGTATAAATGTATATTTTTGAATTACTACAAACAAACAACTGTCAAGTCACTCCAGGAGCGGTTTAAATTAATTTTTCCCTGAAAGTGATTGGTGCAATCTTTGTGGTAACCTGCGGATTTGAATAAGCAGCAAGAGATGTATAAGTTACATTTGAGGCGATCACCGTAACCACTTTTAAAAGATATACTGTGAGGATGCGTGCCTTCCTTTCCAGCGCCTTAGCCGCCATGTAGTGTCTGCCCTTTTCCCTGATACGGAAAACATACCGACACATGCAATACGATTTCATTTTCTTTACTTTTTTGCTTCTACAAACAGCACATTTCCGCACAATTTTTTTAATTTTTTTGCTTTTAAAATTTAATTTAAAAAGTAATTTCTCCGTTTTTCGAAGTTAGCCTCCGATAACGAGATATGGGCCTTCGATGTTCGAAATTGGACCTTTGGTAAAAAATTATTTTTAATTATTGCATGTAAAAAGCAAAAAAAGTAAAAAATACAGACGTGGTCCGCCTGTTGCTCTTATTTATATGGTATATAAATTTTTTTGTGCTATAAAGGGTCAAAGGTGAGATCTTCGAAAAATTAAAAACTAAAGGCCTTATTCATAAAAAATAAAGTAGCTTTAAAAAAGGTTTATAAACTGAAAAATGTATGAAAACGTAATTTTATAAAGCTCTTTAAACCTACTTTATTTTTTATGAATAAGGCCATAACTATTTCAGAAAATTTTGAACTGATTTTTAAAAAGTTCGTATCGTTGTGAAGGTGATTTAACCGCCTTTCTAGTGATATGCATATTTGTATACTTTGCATATAAAAATTTGAGAAAAAACACTTAAAAAGAAAAAATACCAATTTATTATAAAAAAAAAAATTTACAGAAAAATTACTAATTAGTAATACAATTGAATACCGTATTTAAATGAAACAAATAATTATTAGTGTTTGAAGCTTCGTTCTTGTTCACACACAGCCCTGTTAAAGATAAAGCAAAAGTATTTGTAAAAGAAGTCTAAGGCATTTAAAAATATAAAGACACCACAGGTTTTGATTTTTTACATAACAGGTTATATATATGAGAATTAAAGGAAATTTTCTGTTTTATTTAAATAAAGTATTCAATTGTATTACTAATTAGTAATTTTTTTGTTTAAAATATTTTATATGAGAAAAAGGTGGTATTTTTTCGTTTTAAGTGTTTTTCTCAAATTGTTATACACGAAGTGTACAAATATGGATATCGGAAGAAAGGGGGTTTAATCACCTTTACAACGGTATCAATCTTACAAATCGGTTGGTAATTTTCTTGTTTAAATATTAAAAAAAAAAGTTATTTTTTCCTTTAAATGTGGTTTTTCTCAAATTTTTATATACGAAGTATGCAAATATGTGTTTCAGAGGAAAGGGGTTTAATCACCTTTAGAGCGATAGCAATTTTGTAAAAATCGGTTGGTAATTTTTTTGTTAATTTTTTTTTTTTATAATAAAAGGTACTTTTTTCCCTTAAATGTGTTTTCTCAAATTTTTATATACGAAATATACAAATATGCATATCAGAAGAAAGGGGATTCAATCGTCTTTACAACGAAAAATTAAAATTTTCTGAAATATTAAATATTTTAGTTTATTGAACTAAAACCTGTGTTTTATGTTTTCTCTGGGCCTCGAGCTTATCAAATAAAAAATTATAGTTAAAAAACTAAAAACACGCTTTTATTACAACAAGAACTAAAAAGTATAAAATAATTGATATATAAAGCGATTCCGTTTAAGAAGAATAGGAAGTTCCCTAACTTGATTTAACTTTTTTAAATCAGCTAAAAATATGATTAAAGTGATTGGCCCGTAGTCATAGACAAAATAAACTCCACTGTAAAGATAATTGCAGCTTTTTGACACAATTTTCAATGGGATATCTGTAAAAAAAACTGCAACAAACTTTACAGTGGAGTTTATTTTGTCTTGTTGTAATAAAAGCGTGTATTTAGTTTTTTAACTATAATTTCATTTTAAATATTTTTGTATACTATGTTTTTGAAATTTTTAGCAGGGTGCGGAGAATGATCAAAGTATGACCTTTCTGCAACTAATCGCGGTCAAAACCTCATAACTTTCAATTTATAGTGATTTATAAAGTTCCACGGCGCATAAAAGCGTTTACGATCTCTTACGAGCATACTAATGATCGTTAAGATCAGAAACGACATCTACATACCCATATTCATAAAACAATAGAATACAAACTACTTTGCGTGAAAAAGGCTTAGTAAGTCACTACCTGAATCTGTATTTGCGCGTGCATGCGAAGCAGGCGAAAATGTTTTCGCTCACGACCGTTTTCTTAAGTATTTACAGCGGTAAAATACAATCGCGAATCGAGCTAATATGAGAAGGTCGTACTATTAATCTTTCGCGACCAAAATTTTCCGCGACCTGCTTTTTAGCTAAATTTTTTACCTAACGTGCTAGATTTGACCTTAACAAACAAAATTTTCAATATATTTCAATTTAAATAGGTAACACACATATTCTGAATATAAACCAAATCGGAGCACAGATGCTGATTTTTTTAAATTATATATACTCACTCGCCACATCACTGCCAAAATTTTTTGTATTGTTATTTCTTTTCATGTAAGCAATTTGCATTCTAAATGTGAACTCAATCGGATCACAAACACGGTTTTTACAAATATCTCGACTCCTGCGCCACCTATCATCAAAATTTTTTGTGGATTTATTTCTTTTAATACAAGTAATATATGGGCATTTCCCAAAAAAAGGTAAACCGAAAATGCAAGTAAATTAATTTAAACGGCTTTATAACTTTATATTTCGTATTCAGATAGCGAAAAGAGGTTTTGAAAACGGGAAACTGTGGAGAGAAGAACTAAAAAAATTAAATAAAAAATTAAATTTAGTATGTGTTACTAGTAAAAATATTGTATGGGGGGAAAATCTGTCGTTACCAGATTGGTTGTGACGGTCCATAATTAGACTTTATTTAAAGAATGTTTAATAAAGGAAAACCTTACACGATTCGCTGAGTTTTGCTTAGTTTAACATGTACTCTGAAATCACTTCTGTTTTTGTCGCGTCCGTTATGCCCTACTTTTCATCGATTTTCTCGACTTCAGTGCTCCAAGCGCACCTAGTTTTTTGTCAACCAAAGGACGGTATAAAAGCTACACAACAGCAAATTTTTTTTACAAGTGACTTCAGTTTTCGTATGATTTATTTAACTCTAAAGTCATACGAATGTCGCGTCCGTAACCCAGGAAACACCCGTATGTTCTAAATATGAACCAAATCAGACTATAAATACGGATTTTACAAATATCTCGAACTTAATCGGATCATAAACACGGGTTTTCCAAATATCTCGACTCCTGCGCCACCTATCGGCCAACTTTTTTGTGGATTTATTTCTTTTCATATAAGTAATATATGTTATAAATATGAACCAAATCAGACTATAAATGCGGGTTTTACAAATATCTCGACTCCTGTGCCACCTAGCGGATTAAGTCATTTTATATATTGTATTGTCCTCGAGTTCTGAGCTAAGTTTGAAGTTTCAAGTCTGTAGCTCATAGGGGAGTTTGTTAAATATTGACTGCAAAGTTCCAGGACATACAAAGATACATACATACATATGTACATACATACATATGTACATACATACATACATACATACATACAAGTGAAGTTAAATAAAAGCTTGTAATAAAAATTATATCAGTTTAAAATATTTTTTGATACAAAAAGTTCTTTTTTCCTTTTAGGCCTTTTTTCTCAAATTTTTATATACGAAGTATGCAAATATGCATTTCAGAAGAAAGGTATTTTTTCGCTGGCTAGCGAAGATTGAAGATCGAAAGTGAAATTCGTATTATGAGGTAAGTAAGCGTGTCGAAATTTTCGTTAAGTATCGAATTTTCTGTCGAACAGAATTTTGTTTTCGATGGTGTAGCGAAGTGTTAGGAAAGTGTGAAAAATGTATGATTTTGCATTTGTTTTCTTGCTTTTTGGCGGCTAGACACTAATTTTAAACAATTTTT